ACTTAAACAAACTTATTAGAAATAGATTTAACACATTATATAATACTTATTCAAAAGAAATTGAAGCCTAGAATGAACCTTTTCTTGATGCTTCAATATTCTATATTAAAGAAAAACATGAAGCTACATTTACTAAACAAAAACTACTACAGTTTTAGATAAATTGGCAGCAAAAGCAGAAGAATATACTTGTTCTGCTAATTCTGTCAGGACTAATCCAAAACAACAAGCCTTTTAATTTTATTAATACCTAACTATCTACCAAAATACTGCTACAGAAAACCACAATATTGATAAAATAGACAAACAACAGGCTATTAATTTCTTTACATCTAAACTTATCAACACTGACTTTCTCGCACATGTCATTACATACTTTGATTGTACCCACAATGAATCTTCTAACTATTCTGCAATAACCAAATTCTATAAAGAAAAAGTATTACCAGAAGCTAAAACAATTGTACATAAAAAATTTAACATCAAATTTGAAATACTTACATCTATTGCAAAGATACTCTTCTTAGAACAAGAAGAACAGGCTCCTTTTCAATAAAATTGTCTTCTACAAAACCCATAGATGCAGCTGCCATCCTATTAAATAATACATCCACAGTAGTTAATAGGAAAAATGAAGTAAGTAGACAGATGGTAAAGCCTATTTATGTGGAAGGCCAAGATAATAATGGTCAGACCCAATGCACAGAGCAGACTTTGGTACCTTGCACAGCAGTAAGAGCTGAGCATACAGTGATCAACCCTGTAGAAGACAACCTTATAAGATCATTCTTAACATCTTTAAGCCTCTATAATCTTCATATATATTTTAACAAATTCTTTCTTTATTACAACTTATCACTTCTTTCTTATAGGCAAACTATTCAATCTCTTTTACAATATATTAATAAATATAACTATAATAACACTGTGTTTAGCATCACTTTCTCTGTTAGCAATACATATAATGAAACTCATATATATCTCTCAAATGACTTTCTCTTATTTAATTATACTGTTATCCATTCTTATCTTCTTCCTATCTTTTACAATCTTCTTCTCAGAACAAATTCCTCTAATTCTACTTTTATTTTACCTAATTTATTTCTTAATAGTCATACAACATTACAAGTATCTACATCTACACAAACTTTACATAACCTTCATTAAATATTTGTACACATAATATTAGAGGTTATAATACAGTAACTAAAAGAGAAGTTTAGCAAAATTATTGTCTTTACAATAATATCCATATCTCTTGTATTACTAAAACCAAAATTGCTAATAGTACTAATCTTCAATTTCATAATAACAACTTATTCACCTACTTCTAGGCCAATTCAGAAAGTTTAACAGAAAGTGCTGCTATTATGATTTAAAAACACTTACAAGTACACATACACAACTGCTAAACATATTCTAATAGAGCAATTGCTTTAGATTTATTTTTTAAAAGTGAAATTAAACTCTGAATTATAGCTATCTACCTTTTTTCTACTGATATGCAAAAATGCAACAATATACAAAATACTGTTATTACATGAATCCAACAAGCTCTTCAACACAATTTTTATCTAATACTTGGAGACTTTAATACACATAATGATACCTGTAGCTCTTCATCTAAATTTAAACTTATTAATTATTTACACCATTTTAACATGTTTGATCTTGGTGCATATATTGAGAACAAGCACTTTACATGGTCAAATAATACTAGCCACAACCACATTGATTATATCTGGACTGATTCATTCAATATTCAATTCTTTCTTTTATACAAACTTGATGATAGCAATACTTCAATACTTAGTAACCACTCTATTCTTATATCTACCTGGACTTTTACTAATATATATAGCAAATTGCTATGTTATTATACTAGTATCAGTTACAGAATCTTCAATTACAAAGCTATGTTAACTGAAAAATAAACAGAATTTTCTGACCTTCTTTCTCACAATCTTAGTTTTCACAATATACCACCCAATAGTGATACCAATGAAAGCATTGAAACTACTTGGCACAAGATTGAACATTCAATAACTAATACTGCAATACATTCTATCTCTAACAAAAAAACTCATAAATGCAGCTACAACCATCAATACTTCTCTAATTCTACTTTAATCTACACATTACTTAAAGAGCTTAGGCATCTAATAAAAATTGTTAAAAATATTTACAACAAACTCAACATAAATATGATAAACTCTAGAATCAAGACTATTAATAATAGATTCTACTGTGATCTTTAAACTTTTGATCCAGATGCTAATTCTCAAACTTACATATGGATTCAACATGCACAAGATATCTGAAAACAACTTTATCATGCTCATCATACAGAAAACTCACTACTACTTTGTCAACAAATCTAACAAGCAACTGAAAAAAGATGTGAAACATTTTCAACATACCCAAAACAAGCTATTAACAGATTCTTAATTAATACAAAGCTCCTATTCACTTTTTCAACATCAAACTTCCTAACCAACTTATTACGACCCCAAACTCATAAAACAGCATATAAAATCTACTTTCATGACTAAACTGCATATCAACTAATTGACCAAGCACTGTTTGACAGCTTCTGACACACATGTTATCAACCATAATCACATATCAATACTTAATGATACAACTCTCTCAACTCTCTTATTACAGAAAATGAAGTCATTCAAACCTTGTCACAACTTCTGAATAGAAAAGCTTATAAATCTACAAGTATCAGCTATGAAATGCTTAAACATACAGATACTACCTGCAATAAAGCTATTACAGCTTTATTCAATCATTGCTTTAACTTAAGCCAAATTCCCAAACAATAGAAACACAGCAGAATTTATCTGATTCCAAAATGTAATACATTTAATGGTAATCTAAGTCTCACTCACCCTATTAGTCTTATCGAACATATTCGAAAAGTCTATATAAAAATTAGTACTACTAAAATCAGTAATGTGTTTTCTCAACATCCAATACTTTCACTTTTCAATTATGTAGCTCTACCTAACAACAGTACATCTATACCAATTCATATACTTAATAACCTAATTAAAGATACATTATGCAACAACAAACCAATTTGGCTCTTATCTCAAGATATGAGTAAAGTATATGACTCAGTTAATCTTACTCTTCTTCAAAAATCTTTACAACATCTTGCCCTTCCTAACTCTATAATAAATGCTATTACTAACATTCTTCATGATCAACAAAACTAAGTCATTACAAATCTTGAACTTATTTCATCATACTCTGTACATATTGGCATTGATCAGGATAAAACTATCACTCCTCTCTTATAGAGAATTTATTATGATCCACTTATCTTATACATTTATAACAACTTTAATGGCTACACTACACAAGTCTCTTGGCTAACTAATCTAAAACACCAAACATATAATAAGCTTAGCTCACACTGCTCAGTTCTTGCCTACAGAGATAATACTCTTTGGATAGCATCCTCACAACAAAAACTATCACAAATCCTTTCTGCAATTGAATTATTCTTTAATATGGCTAACATACAAATCAACCCCTCCAAATTTGTACAGTACTGGACAGTGAAAAATATCCACTTTTTTATAGAAACGCCAAATTTAATCCAAGGCCGAACAGCAAAAAACATCTAATTTTTTTTATAAAGGTGCCAAATTTATTTATGGTAATACAATTAATGATTGGGTAATTACCTCTTGTGTAATAAACCTAGCTCATATTCACATATCACAAAACAATAGAATTAACTTTTGGTAATGTTCTCACAAAAAATTGTTCATTCTCTGTAATTTTATCTTTTACTAAAAATAAAACTGCACTAGTTAGATTAGGTTAGAGTTAGAAAGAACTTAGACCTTATAGTAAAATTTCACAAGGAACATTTTTAATTAACTGCAAAAGGTGGTTTCTTAATTAAATTTTTTTTGCTTTGATTATTTATGTTACACCTGATCTTGAAATTTGACTCCCTGTGCACTATACTAGAGGTTGTACTCATGAAGAAATAGTCCTTTAATTCAAACAATTATGCATAAATTCAAGGGCTTGATAATGACCTTCCCGAATTTTCTACCCAGGTAATATTAAATTACTCTAGTAATTTATTATGATTATATAATAGATTTGTTTATCCGAATCAATCTCTACACTGTATCCTGCAACGGTTTTAGGAGCAAAATTTTGATTTATACTGGGTATCTAAGTATGATACTATCATACTTCTGTATCCAGAAAAAATATAATAAAACATATTTATTCATACAGTATTTTTATCAAAATGCATTTACTGATCACTGATATTAAAATTTATTTTGTGCAAGAATATTAGCACTTCGCGCATGGGTATATCACATTCGGAATTAGAGATTATCTCATACGAGAAAAGCCTTGTATACATTTGTATACTTCACATAAACCATGTAATAAATCGATAAATTAGTTTATTATATCGCACGATATATATTATTTCACGCAACCCTGCATGACATTGCAGTTTGAGATAAAACCGTGCTCATTTCTACCTAAGAAAAGTTCTGATTATTTAGCAAAAATCTATTGTTTTTAATGCTTAATATGAGAGATTGAAAATTTTAATCAGGTTAGATTTTAAAGACTTCCAAAATCCCTACTATTAGAATTGATTTACTTTATTTAAAACAATACCAGTCAACTTATATATAGTATAACAGCTGGAAACTAAAATATCTAGTATTCATAATTTATAATTTTTAAATAAAAAAAACAAAAAAAAAGAAAAAAAAGAATAACAAAAAAAAAAAACAAAGATAAAAAAGAATAAAAGAAACAATAAAAAATAAAAAATAAAAAGCCTTACAATCCATATAGATGACAATAAATAAAGCCGACTCCTTTTACTTTAAAAACTCATTAATTTGATTCATAACCTTCTCGTTAATTGATCTATGCTTTCTATTATTCCTGACAGCATATTCTGTCATTTTTTTCATCAATCCATGCCAATAAGTATCCATCTATCTATAAGATAGTCTAGCGAAAGAATGGATTTTTTCTACAGAAATTAAAGCGAAAGCCTGATAAATTAATTCTTTAGTTTTTGGAAGTGAATATTCACAATGGGACCGAGTGTACTTCTTAGCCATCCCCCAGTACATTTCTATGTAGTTGAATTCAGGGTGAAACTTAGGATAAAATAAAACCTTATGCCCATGAGATTCGATTTCTTGCTGAATTTGGCCATGTTGTTCAAGAAAACCTGGCTGATTTGAAATTAACCAACATGCACAGCAATCAATAACATCTGGAATTTGATCTTTTTTTTTATATAAAGCACATTCGAGCATCATTCTATTTTTCCATAACCCTCTTTCACTAAGAACCCATTGGATACCTTTAGATTGCCCATGCAGATTAACATATGTCTCTTTTTTTTTATCATAAATCAAATGATCATTCTCAATAATCATTGATTGACGATCACGATTCTACTTTGTATCATGCATTTTTGAAACTAATCCACCCACATTAGCAAATTTATAAATGCGAATATTTTGAAAGATTTTGCATAGCACAATAATTTCGAAATATTGCAAAATAAATTTCGAAATTATTGCTAAATGCAAAATATTTCGAAATATTTCAAAATATTTCAAAATATATTTTGAAATTATTGTGTTATACAAAAGATTTCAAAATATTTTGCATCTATGATCTACATTGCAGAAATTTGTTTTTTTTTTAATTTCGATCTTTTTTTTTATTTTGATCTTTTTTTTTATTTACTATTTTTTTTTTCAAATTTTTTATTTACAATTTTTTTTTCTTTTTTGTCTTCGTTATT